TTGTATTTATAGGGCTTCAGAAGCGGTTATTTGGATGAGAACAAGTGATTTGGCTCTATCTTCAGTTAACAACAGCCTAACCACGTTTGGGGATGATATCAGGTCAGTTAGAAACCTCTGGAACTGAAAAGATCTCGAGAAAACCGTTAAAACCGTCGAAATACACATCAGGGGGTCAAAACAGCGCGGCAGACTGGTCTGACCCGCGCTTTCGCGGGCCCGCGCTCGCGCGGGTCGGTTTGTTCCGTCCCGCGCTCGCGCAGGTCAGTTTGTTCTGTCATGCGCTCGCGCAGGTTTGTTGATTTTTTCTTCTTTTCCGTTCTCTTTCTTTGAGACTTGTCCTTTCGCGTGTTTGGTTCGCTTCGTTGATTTATATGCTTTGAGTTGATTGACGCGTGCGTGTTGATTGACGCATGCGAGCTGATTGGCGCGCGCGAGCTGACTGTCAAGCGCGCAGGTCACTTGATTCACCGTTTTGCTTCAGGCGCTTGTCGGCGTCAGATAATCCTCTTAGACTCGGATAACAATGTCCGTCGTCTTCTCTCTGTCTCGAGCTGTGTGTGGATACCTATAGGCATTTTTAGACGCCTACAATCTATAGATAAGAATGCTATTTCTTTACATTAAATAGTTTTAGGATTTCTCTGCAACTAATTAAGAAAATAGACTCCTGATTACAGAAAAAAATCCACCAATTGTTATGTGTATCAATGACATGTATGCATGCATTATACGGGATCTACAGATAAAAATGTTATTTCTTTACATTAAATAGTTTTAGGATTTCTCTGCAACTAACAAAATAGAGAAGTTGAAGCCATGCATGTTAAAAAAAAAAAAAAACCAAGACCTCAATTGAAAATTTTCAGCAGAAAGAATGAGGGGGCCGGAGAGAGATGTTGAGCAAAGACCACCGCGGATCAATTTTACTCACACAAAAAGCTACCTACTATATCATACATTGCTCTATATATTTCCAACCAGATCTTACAAAAAATCAGTAAGAAATTAAAAGGAAAATTACCCAACAACCCCTCGAAAAAAAAAACAGATAGATTAATTAAAATCACTAACAGGACCCACTTCCTTCTTCCACCTCCTCAATCTCAAAACGAACCGAGGTAGCCGCGGAATCACAACAAGCGCCCGTCTCCTTCCCCTCGTCGCCTCCGCCGCCATCATCGTCGCAGGAAGCAGCAAGAGCGACCAACAAGTCGACAAAAGCGCCGACGATGAACCCATGGTTCCTCTTCCCGTTGACTCTCAGGTACCAGACCAGCAGCTGCTCCAAGCTCTCCCACTCCCTCATCTCCTCATTTGCCGCCACCATCTCCTCCATCGAGCGTCGAAAGTCCCCGTACGGGTCCTCGCTCTCCATCTCCATGGCCGTCGCTGGGATACTAAAACCTTTACAGCTGTAATTATCCAATGGCCCTGGGTCTTCCAGTATCGAGCTGGTGCGGGTCCCGGGCTCGAA